AGCAAATGCACTGGCTTAGTAACCTCAGATTTGGCAGGGAGGTTGTCCTTGAGCTCTAAATGGCCACTGTTGATTCTGACAAAGTGGTATGCGGGGGTATTCACGCCATGATAGTGACAGTTCTAGTTAAGTAAAGGTTGCCATAATTTCACCTTTGCAATTTGTCGGAATAGCAAAAATTGTTGTTAAGAGAAATATAGTACACAAAAAAAATTTATGTAAAGACATTTGGCCAGATATTGATCAAACCCTGAAACGTTGAAAGAAAAAAATGTTTTTTTGCATTAAAGCTTAAGTTTTTATATTGATTTCAACTGATAATTATTATCTGCAAGAAACAGTTTTATCTGTTTGCAGCATTTATGGTCTCATTATCAAAGAAAGCAATTGCATGATGTACTTGTACAGAGAACATTATTCTCACAGAGCTCAATAGCCTGTTTTTTTTTTTGTCACTGAACTCATTTCATTACAACAGAAAATGCATTGAAGAATATGAAGTTTCATTGTAGTCTTGTGCTTTACTGTTGACGCATGAAGATATATATTTAAAGACAGTTTAAAGTGGCCTTCAGCTTTTCTTAAAGTTGAATATGCTAATTTTTTAGATACATTATTTCATATAATTGTCAAATCAAAAGAATTAAGAAGAAAAATGAACATTTCTGACAATAAAATACATAAACTATAAGGAAACCCCTCAATACCTCTAAGCTTTCTGGTGATCCTCTACTCCAGCTAAAATTACAAGTCTTGTATACGAGACTGTCAACTAAGGTTCTGTGGAATAAATGCTTTACACTGTTTTCTCCTGGAATTTAGCAATTTCTATTGCACAAAGCTCAAAAAAATAAAATAGTAAACAATCTTTTGGAGTGAATCACCCATTCGGGTTTTTATTGGTAACAATAAATAAACGGTGATCAACAGCGCTTTATCTGTCATAAATTCAGTCCAAAGAATATTACCAATTTGAATGAGTTATTTTTATATATTACACTTTGATACATTTTATATGAACAACTTTATGTTTAAGACATGTCCTTTTGTAAGGGCACTGGCTTCCATAAATGTTTTTTGATGAATTTTTGTCAATTCTAGACATTTTCATAGTTAAAATTATTTATTTTTCTCAAATCTGTAACAATATTCGAGTAACAGAAAAATATCAATTATAACACCAGCTTTAAATTATGATGTGCCTCAATATACAGGGGTAAATTGTAAATATTAAAAATAATTCCTGAATCAGTTTCAATTGGATTAAATGAATGCTAAGCAGAACACTGTACCCTTAGAAACCCATATTTCCTGATGCTGTCTTGCCAGATCTAAAGTTTTTCTTAACATTACGTGAAAATGCATTTCAACATAGAATTTGTCTCTATCAAATATATAAAGTATAAACTGAAATAACATTTCCCATATTTGTTAGTTTTTTAATAACAAACAAAAAGTGAGGATTGAGAATAAAAAATTGTTTGTGTCACAAATACTTGTTTTTATGATTGGGCCTTCCACGTCATTTATAATAAAGTACTTAAAAAAGTTTACTGCGGTTCTTGTTTGAAAAAATCTCAATATTATAATTTATCGTTCATGAGATTATTAAGTACTGTTTTATCATATTCTTCATTGTAAAAACATATTAAGTTTCTTTAAGTTTTAGAATTTTAGAGACTAAATTGATTGTTAACCTATTTTTTGAGTACATGTATATGAAGATACACCCTATAACCACAAAGAGATTTTATTACCTCAAAGCTCAAGAATAAGAAGAAAGACAATGATGAGAGGATATTACTATTTGGGTCATCGTACAACAGAGCTAATTATGTTTTCAGATTTTTTTTTTGTATTTTTGGTTGTTGTTTTTTTGTGTGGGCATATGAAATGATTTTGATATAATTATTTAGGTTCATAAGAATCTGATGGGAAAGAAAAATATTAAATTTTAGTGTTTTTGGTTTCAAAACAACATTTGGTATACATGTAGTAACCCTTATAATAACTCTCTTGATATGAAATGGTTAGCGCCTTTTCTTCAAGTATAGAGCTAGGCAAACCACAGCACATCCATGACACGGCAAGTGGCAGAGCAGCGGACAGTTTTTGTTCCGAGCATATCTTCTACATATAGGGAGGGATTTCAAGTATTACTTCATTTCAGTAGACAAAGGTCAAGGTCACACTCAGAGGTCAAAGGATAATATCATAAATTTTCGTAATCATGAGACAGAGTGTTAATTACCAGCATTATCTAGTCAGTGTATGCAAGGAAAATGTTTTAAGAGATTTATAATGAAATGTACATAACTTCTGGATGACTGGTAACATTATTTTATATAAAATAATGATAAAAGATAAGCAAGAAAGGATTTTTTATCTGATATTTGAATGAGTTGAATGCTTTTAGAGGTAGAAAAGGTTTATTTTAGATTTTTATGAATAAAAAAAACCAGATGTCAGAAGTCAGTTACTTTGTTCATTATTTAATATGATATTAGAATATCATATATATGTAGAGAAACGGCTTTGTTTACTTTGCACTGACAGCATTAAGCAAAATTATTTTATTGTGTAATGTATCTACAATAACACAGTGGATCATTAGGCAGATAATGAAATTTTAATTGCTGTTGTAAAAAACCTTTATGTCATTGTCTCATTGATCTTTAGTGCAAATTGTCTGGATTAAATTACCTTAACTTATACACTCAATTCACATTTCATTGTTATAATGGGGGATTTTTTTTTCACAACTTGACAAAGTAGTTTTTGTCTTACATGTTCATTTCCTACTACTTCACACAAAAAAATCTTTTCAAACTACTATTAGTTGTAAGTTCTTGATCCTGTGCCAGATTTTCTTGGCATGGTACCACTAAATACTTGTTATGAAAAATGTCCCTAATTTATTATAAAGACTGATCGATTTATACATTGTGAAAATAGGCCAATTTTCAGTTAACTAGCCAGATTTGGTTTAAAGTCCGATATTTACACAATAAGTTGGTCATAGATTTCCTGTCAGTATTGGAAAACTGTTTATTATAATAAATTATGTGGAAAAACTGACCTTGCAAATTTTGAAATTTTAGATTTTGGTCTTAACACTGTGTAGTAAATTTATGTAACTGATAACATTTTTATATCTTTCAGTATAATAAACAAAATATATTTTATCTAAATTAAGACTGAATTTAAAGGTAGCTGTCAGTAAAATATAAAAACACACAGCAAATTTTATATAAAGCCAATGATATTCTTTATGAAATAAGTGCAGATATTTTAAAATATTAAATAATTAACTTTAATAAGTTATTAAATTGACTGATTTACAATTATCTTAGATCATGCAATTTTCATTTGGTGTTGAGAAAGATTTACTAGGAACCATTGTCTCAAGTTGTCTGTTTGTTCATATGTCATGCTGCATGGTTGGTTTTCCCATGGTTGTTTTCCACGTACCATTTACAGTAATAAAGCTAATTGCCACCATGATAGTGCCAATATGTCTTTTTGTCAGCCTACAAACCCATGCTGTCTGATAAGAGTATGGAAAGCATTTTTGAAGGCTTGTAATTTGAATTTGACTAAGAATCACCCTTTAATCAAGTTAATTTTGAGCACATATGCTGTATATTTAATTACTGTATTATCTTTTCGTGTTTTTTCTATTTTAAGTTTCCTAGTTGATCTGCATGATATTTTAAAATTTTAAAGGTTTTTTTAGGCTTTTAGACTGTTGTGGAAGGCCTTTAAAGTAGTAGAACATTATATTAACTGTTGTAGTGCATGCATTATGTAAAGTCATTGGTGCCGTGGTCTGAATTAAAAAGTAGTAGATATGACCATGCAGAAATTCAGGCACCAGTTTTATATTTAAAGCTTTTGATGTGAATAATGAATATAACATGAACACTTCATTTAAATTGCACATATGTTTGTTTTTCCTAAGCCCTTTTCTGGTGAACAGTTAAGGTATCAAACAGAACAATTCATGCTGATAAGCCAGTGTAAACATGAACAAAGCTTAGATAGGCTGACTGTGATATGTGAACATTTACCAGTGTTTGTTGTATTTTTCACCTCAAAGCATTTTAAAGATCATTGTGCTGTGATTCAATGAACTACAATGAACCTTAAATTTGTTGATTTAAAATAGAATTTAAAACACAATTAAGGTTAGCAAGAAAAAATTTATCTTTGGTTCGAAGAATTTCTTGGTTAAAGATTTTTTGGTTCCAAAGAATTTTGATATTTCAGTACTTGGTTCTAAGCAATTCTTAGATCTAGAGAATACAGTTTGGGTGTATTATGAGGGTAATTTTTATGATAATTTAATTATCATTTGAACATAGTACAGTTTACAAGTGTGAAAAAGAAGGGAAAAACAAACCCCATCTCTTATCATAATTTTATCATGCATATTTTTTAAGAGACACTGATCTAAGAAGTGAAAGATTTGAACACTTGTTTTTGTTTGCTTAGCTAGTGTGTCAAAATTATTTGTTATTTGTAATTTCTAATGAATTTATAGAATTTGTTATGCAATGATATGCCATTGTAAAACAGATATAAATGGAATTTCCATGTTATCCTGTTAGTTTGTTTTATTCACCCATAAATTGCAGATGAGAAAATTAACCCTAATGGGTTTTAGGTTTAATTTTTCAATTTTCTTAGTGAAAGGATAGGAGATCAGGTTTGAAAATTTGCCATGTTCTTGTAAAATGATATCAGTGGTGTACCAGGAAAATAATATGTATGCAAATTAACCCAGTCATCACTATATTTGCCTATAATGTGCTATAACAGTAGAGAAAGTACAGACCCAATACTTTATACTGTTGCCCACACAACTTTAGTTCTATGATTGTATAATAATAGATAGAAGTCTCACCAAACTAAGTCTAAGAGTGGGCAGTGGGGGAATTTCACTATGCAAAATGAGCTGGTATTAAATGGTTAAAATATCATAATTTTATGTTTTTCAGACACCAGAAGACTGGCATGTCGAGGTGATTGAAAATAAAGCAGAGAAGAAAAAGAAAAAGCACAGACGTTCAGCATCATTTGGGCATGCTGATAAAAAATTAGCTGTAAGTGAATACCCCTCTTTTATGAAACCACAACTACTGTTGTATCAAGATGTCTAAGGTTCAAACAGTTAACTTATGTCAGCAACAAAAAGTTAAAATGCCCATTTCTTAATTCCTTGCATGTATCTGTATGGATTATATGCTATTAACAAACTGTACAAGCAATATAGTTAATGATCTCTGGCTTTAAATGCATCCCTGTTAATTCCTGTATATTAATATTGTTTGTAGTAGGATTGAATGATTCATTTCATTACATATATAAACATTTCATTATTCTTTTAAACAGTGGTAAACATTAATTTCTTTAACTGATTAGTTTTAATTACATGATGAGAGATTTTTTTTTAAATCCCAATGAAATTCATGATGAAGGCTAAAGTAAAAGGAAAGGAACAAGTCAGTTTATCAAATTGCCAGCTGGCGGAACTGTTTTTATCCATGCAACCAGTACACACCAAGATCAGTCGACACAACCTTGTGGCCTGATCATGGCCTGCACTGTTTGACTACAATGGCATAAGTATACTGTCACTTGTAAAGAAATTGGTAATAATCGGTTTGTTATCCAGGAAAGTCAGTTAGGTGAACTGAACAGTGTTAATATAAAGGTAAAAACCTGACAAACATGGAAACGCTAAATTCACTTTGTACATATTTTTAAAAATTAATATATATTTCCCAAAAAATGATGAATGTAAATATTAATAAATTAACTTCATCATGATATTGTCACAGAATGAGATTGCATTTTTCATTTACTAGTGAAATGAATATCATATATATATATATATTACAAATAATAAAAGATGGGAGTTATAATAGCTAAGAATATGTAGTATAGTGGTGTCCTTTGTTTGAAGTTAACCTAAGCTTTGAAATATGTCTGAACCTTGTATGTTATTAATGAAAGGTCTAAAATCTGTTGCCCTTCGTACATTGTGTGGATATATATCTATCATGCTCGACATCACAGTTTTAAATTATACCTTAACTCAAAAAGCTCTTTTGAATTACACTGTAAACATCATTTTTCAAACATGAAATCCAGTTCACAATTACACCGTTATACACTGTAGTTTTATTCAATAGGCGTCATAATAGGTGTTTGCCTACCCGATGTGAGTCGCGTACTTATTCAGTCGCGTTGAACAGATTAAATAGTCTATTTGCATAAATTTTCTGACGCATTGAGACTGTTTAAATAGTTTAAATATTTATTTGTGTATTTGTTCTTTCAAAGTACTTGAAAAAAAATGTTGTTGGCTTGTGTAAGAAACATGTATTGATGATAAATGAGAGAAAAAAATCTTTTGAAATCATGAATTTATTTATTTACTTAATATATATAACTACCGTACTTATTCTAAAACCTGAATTCAAATTTATTTGGAGAGGGGAATTATTTGAATGCTGTTTTGAAAAAATGATGGAATGTTGACTTCATTATTATAAACATTTTTTACCGAATTAATAGCAAATCCCAAAATAATAACTGACCAAAATAAATGTGCTACGATTGTTATAAAATACGCCTTATCTTTATTACTGTTCTTTTGGTTAGCTCAAATGGTAAGCCATAAAATCTAAGGAATGTTTATCATCAACAGTGATTTGCAAAACAGTTTGTTACATGTAGAGATGCTGCTCATTGTAAGTAGTACCACTGCAGATTTCACCAGTATGTAAATAATGAGTACAATTGAGCCGACTTAAGTGTGGCTTAAAATACTTTCCTTTGTAGCTGATTTGGACAGTACCTTTATCAATTCAAAAGGTCTTTTATTACAGTGTGCATACCGTTATTGTATACAAAAACCCATTACCAGTAGTACCATACACTCTCTTCCAAATATTCTCCAGGGCTGGCAAAGTCTCACTTTGACCTTGTTTGTTTTTATATGAAGCATTTCATAACTTGTCCGTATGATATTTCCATAGTTAATTCTTGAAAATTTCCACTTGTCTTTACATGTCAGACAACCTGGGCAATACGGACAATTGATTTTGTAGGCCCTGCAGCCTCCCTTAAATAATGCCTGCTCAAAGTTTCTGACTACTGGTATTTAATTCTTCTGTAAAGCAGGTTATTTAAAAATGATTTAAAGCCAATTATATAAAAGAATAATATGTTTCTGTTATTCTTTTACAGTTGAACAGTATACGACAGAAATTACAAAAAACAAAGGACCAAGGAACAAAACAACGTTCCAGCCCAATTCCAGGCAACCACAATGCATTACTACAAACCGCGCCTGCAGTTTTGATGCGATCTCCTGCCATTGGTATACACATTCCCAAAACCTCCATACCACGATATCAACGCAATAGTGTGGAGGGACTCAATCCAGTAAGTTTCTTTTTTCTCACCAGACAAGTCCATTTGTTTTACTTATATATTAGTTTGTTTGTGTAGGAAGCTATAAGCTTATAGACACACTTTCGAATCCTGGAACCAACCAGTACTGAGCAACAAGTGTAAAGTTTCTTGCTCAAGGAAACTATCACTTGCCCCTGACAAGTCCATTTAACATATTCAGCAGGATAAGGAGTGGTGGTGCTGGTAATTTTCACAACGGATCACATCAGTAAGTCACTTTGAATTAACAAGAGCACAGTTCAGGCACTGCATTATTTCTGTGTAGGCTGTCAATCAGATAACCAGTATGAGTTGCCTCCACTTTCGCAAGGGACTGAAACTTCTGTACATGCCAGAGCAGAGGTACAGTGCTAATGACCGTGGAAAGATTCTATGATCAATCACAACGAAAGTGACCTGCACCGTCGGGGAATTAAACCCGGGTCGCCCGATTCACAGTCCAACGCTCTACTTATTGAGCTAATCGGATGGCTTTAATTCTGTTAACATCATATTCAGCAGAATAAGGAATAAACGTTTATAAACTTACTTTACTTAACAAACTGTTGAAGAAGTTATAGGCATGCATTGGTTGAATTGGTTGAATTATCAGATACTTTATCAGTTTTACACATGTATGTGACAATGTTTTTTTATGATCTTAACATAAGTTTATGTCATAAAAAACTTCACTATGGAGTGTGGTCTATGCCTGGAGGACTGTTAACTTTCACCTCTGGTCATTATAATGAATGCTTTATTGTTTTATTATCCCATATTTATCTCTACTCTCTATTGAAGAACTTGAAATTGAATATAAGTGTTCTTTTTTCAACAATTTAGGAAACAAGTTCAGGTCAGCCCAATTGTGAAATGTTAGAGTAACTGAATTTTGAAATTGGAGTAAAAACGAATTTTAGACAATAGTCTTATTTTGAAAAAAAAATATGATGCATCCAGGTCCTTCTGAGTAAGTACAAAGTAAAAAGAAATAAATCAATAAAAAAAACATGTGATATCATCAAGAGAAAATGCACCAATAAACGTATTTGTATGTACAGAAATGAATGCAGTCTTATTCATTGATATTAAAGCTTTGTTATTTAATTCATTAAAAAAACACTACTTTCTAGGTACATGAAGATCTTGTGAAACACACTTTTGTTACTGCAACTTATTAATCTGTAGGTTTACGTTTGGCTGTAATGTCACAATCATGACTTCAATAAATCACTTGGATTTAATACCATGTCATGTAGGATAATAATCATATATGACAAATGATGGTTGCTTAACCCATAAAGCTCTAGGGTAAAATAATAGTATGAGACCAATATGCTACCATTATAGAGCCAGGCCAGGCATAGTATAGAGTCTGGCCAGTTATGTAACCAGTCTCCCTGTGCAAGCTATGTCAACGGTATAGGAACAGGCTAGGCATGTTACCAGTATAGCGCCTGGCCTGGCATGCCACAAATATAAAGCCAGGCCATGTATGTTACCAGTTCAGTCACAGGTCAGACTTACTGATAGTAAAGAGCCAGATCAGATATTTTACATATTTAAAAGGTTATGTGAAATTAACTAGGGACTTTACTTAGAGGCCTCGAAGGGATTGTGATTTTTGGTGTTGATTTTAGATCTCATGACCTACAATGCTGTTAGTTTAAATCCCATCAGGGACTTGACATTTTTCTTTTGTGAAGAACTTAAAGCTATCCAGCTAGCTTATGAAAGGCTGATGATTCTTCTCAGGTACCTTCTTGTTGTCTGAAATAATGTATGATGGGGCACCGGACATCTTCCTCTACAAGCAAAGCTTGGAAGTCACTATTTGACCTGTACAGGGTTGGTGTGGCTTAAAACCCACAAAGTAAATGATGGATTATTTCAAACTCAAAGCAGAATAAGTCCATTACAACGTTCTGCAGGATAACAGATTAAAAAAAAAACAGTCAAGTTTTCAAATTCAAAGAATTAGACCAGAAAAGTGTGATTTAAGTAAGTGATACAGCGGTAGGAGGGTCAAAAATTATTTGTTTGTGGTGAGTAAATACAAGCCCTTCATGTCTTAATCCATTAAATATAAAAGTCACTTTAAGTCAGTTACTAGTTAGTGTTGAGTTACCAAAGTTAAATCTGAAATCCTTAAAGGGAATAGATTAAATAGAGCCACAGGAGGTCTATTTCAAGATTAAAAACTTTGCTTAGGTCACCACATGTACTATGCTAATTTAGTTAAAGCTGCTTGCAAAAATTGTATAAATTACTGCATTTGATACCAAGTTTTGCAATTTTTTTATCTGATTGTAAAAAAAAAGATGTTGCCATTAAATAGTAGTATTGGGTAACAATAGCGAAAAAAATCTCTATTTTAAGGGGCTACTTAAATTAGATCCAGTTCTAAACAAAGACATGTTATCAAAAATGTGCTTCAATATTTATAGATATTAAAATTGTTAGCATAAAATGTGGCGAACAGACTGATGTTTCCTAATGCCAGGTTTTAGAATTGAAGTAGATTAAACTATTAACCATGGGACATTTCAGAATTCAAAAAAAAGCAGGACTTTTTCTTTATTCAATCTCGTAAAAATTTAAAGATTTAAGATTCATTGACAACCGAAATGTCTTCACAAACATGTCTTTAATTTTCAGTTGAAATTGAAATTTCATGTCAAACATTTCTTCAAACAGAAGCTGTTTTATTGAAAAGCTGTGTTTATTTTTATTCTAAGATAATCTCAAAATAGTTTGTAGATCCTAGATCGGACTCTATGGTGTGGTAAAGTTAGGAATCTATTCATTTGATTATGCTGCATTATGTAAATATTATGTCATATTTTGTAATTTAAAGTTACATCATTGTTCATTTACTTTTAATCAATACCAGTAGATATCTAATTATGATCAAGGGAGATAATCATGATTAAGTCAAACAGGTTCCCTTGACAACTAGGGAAGGGAGATCACTCTTGTTTAGCTAAATAAGGGCTAATTATTTTCATCATTTTATCAAGTATTCAAGTATTCTAATGATGATTTTCTTTGTGTTTTTATTATTCACAGTATAAATATTATGTATCTTTAATAATTCTGTATTTTATGTAAATAATATTGAGTTTTGAACACATTCTAAGGGAACTACTTTTTGGGGACTACTTTCTCATAAGTTCCAGGGCTATTCTATTTATAGAATTAGGGATGAATCATGTATCACTTTTGTTTTGCACATTTTACTTACTTTAATCATTAATTATTAGAACTTTAGTATTAGAAATAAGATAAGTTAATTCTTTAGTATATTTTGATTATATATTTGTCATTTTAAGAGTGATAATTATAGAATTCTATTTATAGATTTGACTAATTAAACCTGAATAACCTCTTTTAAACCACTTAGACCAACCCAAAGTTTGTTCCATTATTTGTAGGGAATTTATGCAAACAATCAGTCAATGTTTTATTGTTTATTGATTTCATTATGTTCATTATCACTTTGTTTTGTATTTGTTTGTTGTAAATACATATTGTTATATTAAAAAATACATTTTTGTTTGCAAATATATGTTAATTTAGTAATTATGCTAAATCTCACACAACCTAGTTAAAGGAAAGTCCATTATGGTCATTTCTGATTGGTTGTTGAGATTTGCAGCATCTTTTGTGTCATAAATAGGGATGCAGACCCTGTTTTCAACAGAATTTTGGCAACACTTAGAATAATAACTTTAAAAGAAAGGAACAACTAGGAAACTTCAGGAAAATAGGTCTATATTTTTGGCATTTAGTTAATTAATTAAACTTAATTAGTTCCTTTCATATCTTTTGGCATTTTTATCTTTAGTATAAATTTAGAAGCTTATTGAGATCAGAGTTTTGTAACAGGGACTTTGTCACTGTTTATATAACAGAAAAGTGATTGTTTTCCACTGAGATTACAACACTGTCTGTTGTATTATATGAGAATATACAGTTGAACAGCCTGATCGGTGGACCTGTGAGCCTCCCATTAGCCAACTGTTATTCTTCAGCTGAATAACCGCTTTCCCTGATCTCAGTTATTTGTTATCTTAAATTAAGTAATATTCAAATAACATTTTAATAGAGAAACACTTAAACTAGGTTTAATGTAAATAAACTTGAATTTATTTTTATAAATGTAGATATAGTTGAAATTATTTCTTCATCTTATTTTACTTCTGTAATTTAGCATTTTACATTTAATTAGAAACAGAACTTAACTTTAAGTGAACTCATGTCAACTTTAGCAGTTTTTCTTGCTTGTGTAAATGTAATTTGCCATTTGTTTATTCTTTGTGCTATTTTAGTATCAGTTTCAATTATTTCTATTCAGAATCACATTTTGCAAACTTGGTTATCACTTGTTCAAAATAATTTTGCACTGTTTCATAACATCACTTTTCCACCCTGTATGTAAAGTTGTTTTATTTGAAGAGTTATCTTGTTTATTGAATACATTTCATCAAAACAGCCCGTTGTTTCTTTTCTCTATGTAGTTAAAATTACAATTTTTCCTAATTAATTAGAGAGTAAAATTATCGAACCTGAAATGTTAACTTTCCGGTCAAGTTAACTGATATATTTTGTCTTAAATAAGTGGGTCGACCGGTCTGGTGTCATTTGCCCCAAACAGTATACATAGTATATGTAAATACTGGATTATGTTAATTATCTATTTTTTAAAATAAGTAAAAAGGGAAAAAGATCGCCAAATTCCGAAAGAGAGTCCAAGGGAAAAAATTCCTACCACAATTTGGGTTGTAAAGGAATCGCGGATTTCAGTCTAAAAAGATAGGAATAGGTGAAAGGTCAAAGGTTAGGTCAATTAATAGAGACTGGTTCTGACACTTTTCAATAATTTTTGTTGATAGCGTATAGGCTTAAGATTCAATATTTTTTGTTGATGGCATAATTAGGCTAAGGACAGAAGAGTTCACATTGTATTAATTCTAATTAATTTAATTTAATTTAAGAAGCACTTGCACTTAACATAGTTAAATTGTTTAACTTCTAACATACTCTGCAAGCAATTTTCTTTTCCTTTATTAACATTAATGAATTAGAATTAAAAGATAACATTGAAAAGTTGTTGACCAAGAAAGAATTGAAGAATACCTGATATATTGTCAAACCTATTCACACCTTCTGAAAATAACGAACAAACTGTGGTCAATGGAACTGCGATCAAAAAGAGTATTACCTACATTCGGGGAAAGAAAGGAAGGTGCAGCAACAAACCATTCACCAATAAGTGACAACACAGTTTGCTATACTGCAGCAGATACTGAAGATTCAAACATAGCAGCTTCATCACAAATGTTTATGACGCACCGCAGCAAGTCAGTTAACGGAAATATCCAGGAAGAAGAAGAACAGTGCAGCGGCTTGAAACAAACTACATCTCGGAAAGATTACCTCAACAGACAACCTTTCAGACCTATTCCCCTTCGGGCTCAACCAGAAACTATAATGTCATTTCAAATGATGAATAAGAACCGAGATAACACTGATGATGACCTGTTATACAGAACACGAAACTCACTCAATGAGGCACAGGAACATGACCGGCACATTGACATGCAACAACGAACAGACCATAGAAGATATACATCAGATACTCCTGATTTCACATCCTATCAGCAAGAAGATTTCCACGTAACTTCACATGACTACCCGGACTTTGTCAATAGATCTGTTCAACACCCTCAAGTGAAACAAAGTGAAAGGAGATCTCAATCACCAAGAAATTCAGCATTTCAACCTCCAGCACCTAGATTTACTCTGCATGACTTACGCAGTGATCTCCCAAAGGGCGGGCGCCCAACCCTGATTATCGTTGCTCCCCCAAATTACTACCCCCATAAATCCCCAACAAGTCCTTTTGGGAAAAAATTAAACTTCCTCTTTCAATGGAAAATCAGAAGAATGGCAATCGTTTTGGATACAATTTCAACTTTGCGCAAGGAGATGTAACTTTGATGATGAAGAATTTGCTTTACTTGACACCTGTTTGGCTTGAACAGGGCTACGCTTCAAACAATTGCAACTCTCTGCTATGAAATTTTATCCAAGATCTGGGAAACACAAATGTCCCGCAGCCCTTAAAGTTATAATCTTAAAACAACGGGATTTGAGCTGAAACTATTCCCGTCTACGCAAAAGTTTGACTTTGTGAATCATTGAGATCGATGTAAGCATTTTTAAACCGGGCCCTGTTTAAAATTTCCTGATTTTAAATTACTGAACGTTTACAAAAGCTTCAATTTATTCCTCTCTGGCTATAATTTATCAAGCTTGTAAAGGCTCAGAAATTTATCCAAAAAATTGGCTAAATATCGAAACTGATTTTGGGTTGACTTAGTTTTAAAAAAAGTCAAGGGGCAGACAAGTTTTCCCTAAAATGATGAAAGTGACACTGGAGATGAAGAAGATGGTGACCTTAGACGAATAAATGGCAAACGATTCGTGACTGAAGAACGGTTGATGCAATATGAAAGAGATTTGCAAAGAAATCTACAAAGAATGTTTCGAGAGCTAACAAATCAATATTTCGGTGACAGAGAAGAGACAGCAACTAGAAGGAAAGGCCAAGAAGATTCATACCAGCAATCAAGAAAACCTATTAGATGCTATAATTGTAATGAAGAAGGTCATCTGAGTTATGATTGTAAATCTCGTAGTTCAAAAGATACCAAGAAGAATTATGAAAATACCACAGAAGAGAAGCCTTTAAACTTAATTGGACTGAGCCAAGTGGCCAACACTCAGTCCAGAATGTAACAGAGTCACCTCTTAATGAAGAAATGGCCACCACAATATGCGGACGAATGAGTCGAGGGATCAATGGTTTTTAATGATGAGAGAAGAACATTGTTTCCAGCAAGGGGTTCCCATCATTGGGAAGAAGAGAGGGCATTCATTTCAAGTTTTATCATCGTGTACGTGCAGTGACAATATAGGCTCCAATCAAAATTCAAGGAAATGATGACAAAAGCGTTATAGATACTGGTGGCAGAAATTTAAAACTTTAAGTGGACGTTTACAATGAGATACCGAGGGAATGTCGCCCGAAAATTTAAGAAGGCAAATAAAGACGTCTTACAGTTGCTGATGCTGGTAGAGATGAAACAGATGGCAATTAGCGGGATATGAGCTTTCACATTGGAAAGACTTCATTTTGTTTGGGCCATATCTGTAGCTTTTATCCCGGGATGAAAGTCTTGCTTTGCTTGTGACATATTGATTTAGAGAAGGAATCACTGTTAAACAAAGAGGGGATATGTATTTCAGAAACATGGATACCATGCGACGTTATCAGATCTGTTGAACAGTCAGCCAAAGTTAAAGTTTCGCGTGCAGTAACTATCCCGGCAAATTCTGAATACATACTTTCAGGTCACTGCAACAACATATCCTTGTCAGGAACTACAACCTACATGTTAGAAGCAACAGAAGAAGCTAAAGGAGAGTTATTAATTGGTAGATGTGTAATCACGCCTAAAAGTAATAAAATTCCGCTTAAGGTCCTCAACTCAAGAAATGTACCAATAAGGCTAAAAAAGGGACTTATACTTGGAGAACTACACCAAGTTGAAACAATCATGCCAATGAGAATAAATGCAGACATATCAAAATGTGAGGAAAGTTTATCTCTCTGCAGATTACAGAGTACAGAACACAAACATCACAGAATCATCCCAGAAAACATTCTACCTTTAAACTTACAACAGGAAACTGAAATGAGAGACATACAGCAACTAGCTTCAAGTTTACCAAAAACACATGAACCAAAGGCAGACCATGCAACATGTACCCAATTACCGCAACATTTAAATGAACTATATGAAAAGAGTGTCTCGCAGCTTAATCAAAATCAACAGACTCGGCTACGTAAACTTCTGTTTAAACATCAAGAGTCTTTCGCAAAATCAAAGAATGAAGTTGGAAAATGTTCCATCCTTAAGCATAGCATTGACACAGGATGTGCAGCTCCGGTACGGCAACCCCTTAGAAGAACACCACAAAGTTATGAAGGAGAGGAGGATAAATATGTTAAAGAACAGCTTGAAGCGGGAACGATTAGACCATCCAATTCTGCCTGGAGTTCACCATTAGTAATGGTTAGGAAAAAATCTGGTGAAATTAGAGTATGTGTAGACTACCGGAAATTGAATGAACGAACAGTTAAAGACGCATACCCTCTTCCAAGAATAGATATGTGCTTAGACTGTCTTTCCTCAGCAAAAATCTTTTCAACTGTTGATCTTCAGAGTGCGTATATGCAGTTAGAGGTAGTAGAAGAAGACCGACACAAAACAGCTTTCATTACAAAATCAGGTTTATGGGAATACAATGTCCTTCCGTTCGGACTATGTAATGCGCCAAGCTCATTTCAAAGATGTATGGAGTTGATTTTTCGTGGACTGCAATGGGAGATTCTGCTTATCTATCTAGATGATATTATTATTATGTCTCAGAATTATGAAAGCCATTTTGAAAGGTTAGATCTAGTATTAACAAAATTAAAGGAGGCTGGACTGAAAATAAAACCATCCAAGTGTGAACTTTTCCAATCAGAAGTCTTATTTTTGGGGCACATTGTTGGACAAGACGGCATTAAACCAAATCCACAAACTACAAAGGCAGTGGAGGAATGGAAGACATTAACTACAGTAAAGGAGGTCATGAGTTTTCTAGGATTATGTTCCTATTACAGATCATACATCCAGAATTTCAGTCACATTGCAGCACCGCTTACAAGGCTTACAAGGAAGAACATAACATTTCAATGGGATAATGCATGTGAAGAGGCCTTCCAAACACTCAAAGAAAAACTATGTACAGCACCAATTTTAGCTTATCCTAAACCTGGGCTAAAATATATATTGGACACGGATGCAAGTGATGTTGGAATTTCAGCAGTTTTATCACAAGTTCAAGATGGAAAAGAGCGTGTTATTTCTTATGGCTCTAAGAGACTAAGCAAAGAACAAGAAAGGTACAGTGTCACCCGTCGAGAACTGTTAGCTGTCATATATTTTGTGGAGAAATTCAGACACTTTTTACTAGGTAATCGATTTACGTTAAGGACTGATCATGGATCACTTCGATGGTTGTTCGAGTTCAAGAATCCAAAAGGGCAAGTAGCTCGCTGGATAGAAATCCTTCAACAATATGATATGGAAATAGTACATCGTAGTGGGAACAAACACCAGAACGCAGATAGTCTTTCAAGACGCGACTATGAGCAAGAACTCTGTCAACATGATAAAGAATTTGAAACTGATTGTGATATCTGTAGGGATATAAAAGACACATGGAAAGAGTTTACTGAAGAGACTGATGACACAACTGATCTTGGACGACGACAGGAAGCAGAAACCATATGGACAGAGCAAAATGATAACATACGTGCTTTAACCTCAAAGTCAAGTAAGCAGCCAGTAGAGCACAAAATTAAAATGAGAGCTGATAACAGAGATCCAGAAGACATTAAAGTAAAACCAGAGTTAACTTTCTTACCTTGTTATACCTTCCATGACATAGAAGATCTACAGCGTCAGGATGCTGATCTTGTACATTTACATGACTGGATAGACCAAAAACTTACACCACAAAGAGAAGAAGTTGCAAGCCTTAGCCCAGCTGTACGGAAATACTGGTTGAATGCAGAAAACCTTGTAAGACGAAATGGTGTTATATATCGTAAGAGTTGGACATGTTTTTGAAAGAAAAGAATTCAAGCTCCAAATGTTGGTTCCAAAATGCTTAAAAGCAAAAGTAATAAGAGATCATCACGACACACTGACTGGCGGTCATTTTGGAGTTAACAAGACATCAAACAAAATTCGAACAAATTTTCACTGGTTTATGATGGACTTCGACATTAGACTTCATATTAGATGCTGTAACAAATGCAATTTGAATAAGTTACCAGGGAAAAGGCCTAAGACTAAATTGCGACAATATCAAGTTGGTTATCCTTTGGATCGGGTTGGAATCGATATAATGGGACCGTTCCCCTTGTCAGCTCAAAAGAACAAATATGTATTGGTTATTGGAGATTATTTTACCCGTTACATGGAAGCATATGCCATACCCAATCAGAATGCAGAGAACGTGTCACATAAGCTAGTTATGGAATTTATATCAAGATATGGGATTCCATTAGAACTTCATTCAGACCAAGGAAGAAACTTTGAAAGTGACCTTTTCAAGGAAGTATTGAACCTGTTGGAAATTAAGAAAACCCGCACAACTGCATACAGACCTAGCTCCAATGGACTTATTGAAAGATTTAATGGCACTTTGGGCAAAATGATACAGAAGTACATCAACTCTAATCCAATTAACTGGGACAAACACATTAATCTTTTATTAGCAGCATATCGCAGTACTGTCCATCCATCTACAGGTTATACTCCTAATATGCTGATGTTCGGCAGAGAAGTGAATTTACCAGCTAACCTCCTATTTCCATTTCCCAGGGACGTAGACCATACTGAAACACATGAATATTTATATCAATTAAGGGACAAAGTCGAGGAGTGTTATCACCTAGCGAGAGAAAATTTAAAAGAAGCTTCAGAAAGACAGAAAAGAGATCATGACACAAGAATCTATGAAAGGACATATCAAAAAGGAGACCTAGTTTATAAAAGGACAGGACCAAGGAGGAAGCTGGATGACAAGTTCGAAGGACCATTTATCGTTAAACACATGTTCAGCCCTGACATATATGAAATAATTGGGAAAAAGAAAACTTTTGTTGTTCATCATGACAGATTAAAACCATTTCAAAGTGAAGAAATACCAAAGTGGGCAAGATCTCTACAGGGAAAAATTTCTAAAGCATGTTAACTTACTACCCTGTTAATTAACAATTAACAATCACAATTTGCATGTACTACACAATGGGAACAGACAAACTTATGGAGAAAAGAACAAGTCCTCTACCGGTCTGCCAAACAAGCATCGCAGGTGTATGAAGAAGACCCCACACAGTACGATTCAGCAGTGCGGACCAACCGAGAATACCTATTTAAGTAAAAGATAAGTCGGTTTTCTGTAACCATGCTCCGCACTTTTATTAACTTACAAATGTTTATGTAATTGTTGTTAAATGTAGGGTTAATTAACAGAAATCTTGTGGAGCATGGAGTCAAATCTCCATTTTATTTCACTTTGCAAACTGTTCTGTCAGTAATTTATTTGAGATCTTTTATTAATATGTTCTATAAAAGCTAGAATTAAGGTCTAGGCTTGTGAATTTATTAATTGAAACCTTCTTACATTAGTTCTGGCTGGGCTAGTACCGCACTTTTGTTCGGTTTCTTTTTGACAGTTTAACTTTTACATTTAACAATAATTTGAATTTACATTTGTAATAATATATTTTATTGTTAGGACAAACAAAATAAGTTCCATTTATTCATGTGGTTACATTCTTTCTTTTTGGAGCATGGTTTAGGTAGAATTCAAAGCAATGGTTTAGAAAGCAATCCTAACAGTGGTCCCTCCTGATGGAAGAAGAGACGAGACGAGACTTATGTGTGAAAACTGGAAGACCTTTTTACAGACATTTTAACTGTGTATATTATTATTTAGAAACAAAATAAACTGTGTTGTGACAAATTTTGAGAGGAATTAATTATAAACTGTGACATTCCATAAAAACAAAAAACCAGTTATATTTATATTATTAGATTCTTTTTCATATAAAATTTGCATTCCGTGAACATGTTAGTTGTATTTATCAGGGTGGACATATGTTTTTTAGAATTTATTCTGTTAATTGTAATTAACAAGATGGACTTATGTGTTTAGAAGTGTTTATTCTAGTTGAATTTTTTATTGAAGTTTTTATTGTTATTGTGTTGGCAGCATAATCCTAAATACTAATCATGACATTTCGAGGACGAAATGGGAAAAACATTTAAGAGTAAAGTTTTTCTTTTTTAAGGGGGAGCTTTGTGGTAAAGTTAGGAATCTATTCATTTGATTATGCTGCATTATGTAAATATTATGTAATATTTTGTAATTTAAAGTTACATCATTGTTCATTTATTTTTAATCAATACCAGTAGATATCTAATTATGATCAAGGGAGATAATCATGATTAAGTCAAACAGGTTCCCTTGACAACTAGGGAAGGGAGATCACTCTTGTTTAGCTAAATAAGGGCTGAATATTTTCATCATTTTATCAAGTATTCAAGTATTCTAATGATGATTTTCTTTGTGTTTTTATTATTCACAGTATAAATATTATGTATCTTTAATAATTCTGTATTTTATGTAAATAATATTGAGTTTTGAACACATTCTAAGGGAACTACTTTTTGGGGACTACTTTCTCAAAAGTTCCAGGGCTATTCTATTTATAGAATTAGGGATGAATCATGTATCACTTTTGTTTTGCACATTTTACTTACTTTAATCATTAATTATTAGAACTTTAGTATTAGAAATAAGATAAGTTAATTCTTTAGTATATTTTGATTATATATTTGTCATTTTAAGAGTGATAATTATAGAATTCTATTTATAGATTTGACTAATTAAACCTGAATAACCTCTTTTAGACCACTTAGACCAACCCAAAGTTTGTTCCATTATTTGTAGGGAATTTATGCAAACAATCAGTCAATGTTTTATTGTTTATTGATTTCATTATGTTCATTATCACTTTGTTTTGTATTTGTTTGTTGTAAATACATATTGTTATATTAAAAAATACATTTTTGTTTGCAAATATATGTTAATTTAGTAATTATGCTAAATCTCACACAACCTAGTTAAAGGAAAGTCCATTATGGTCATTTCTGATTGGTTGTTGAGATTTGCAGCATCTTTTGTGTCATAAATAGGGATGCAGACCCTGTTTTCAACAGAATTTTGGCAACACTTAGAATAATAACTTTTAAAAGAAAGGAACAACTAGGAAACTTCAGGAAAATAGGTTATATTTTTGGCATTTAGTTAATTAATTAAACTTAATTAGTTCCTTTCATATCTTTTGGCATTTTTATCTTTAGTATAAATTTAGAAGCTTATTGAGATCAGAGTTTTGTAACAGGGACTTTGTCACTGTTTATATAACAGAAAAGTGATTGTTTTCCACTGAGATTACAACACTGTCTGTTGTATTATATGAGAATATACAGTTGAAACAGCCTGATCGGTGGACCTGTGAGCCTCCCATTAGCCAACTGTTATTCTTCAGCTGAATAACCGCTTTCCCTGATCTCAGTTATTTGTTATCTTAAATTAAGTAATATTCAAATAACATTTTAATAGAGAAACACTTAAACTAGTTTTAATGTAAATAAACTTGAATTTATTTTTATAAATGTAGATATAGCTGAAATTATTTCTTCATCTTATTTTACTTCTGTAATTTAGCATTTTACATTTAATTAGAAACAGAACTTAACTTTAAGTGAACTCATGTCAACTTTAGCAGTTTTTCTTGCTTGTCTAAATGTAATTTGCCATTTGTTTATTCTTTGTGCTATTTTAGTATCAGTTTCAATTATTTCTATTCAGAATCACATTTTGCAAACTTGGTTATCACTTGTTCAAAATAATTTTGCACTGTTTCATAACATCACTTTTCCACCCTGTATGTAAAGTTGTTTTATTTGAAGAGTTATCTTGTTTATTGAATACATTTCATCAAAACAGCCCGTTGTTTCTTTTCTCTATGTAGTTAAAATTACAATTTTTCCTAATTAATTAGAGAGTAAAATTATCGAACCTGAAATGTTAACTTTCCGGTCAAGTTAACTGATATATTTTGTCTTAAATAAGTGTCGACCGGTGGTGTCATCCTGACAAACAGTATACATATATATGTAAATACTGAGATTATGTAATTATCTAGTTTTTAAAATAAGTAAAAAGAAAGATCGCAATTCCGAAAGAGAGTCAAAGGCAAAATCTGTTAAAATCCAGGTTTTACAGCTAAAAGAAGTTC